GGCAGGGGGGTTGTATATCGATTGTAATCTAGGAGATTACTATCGATATATAGCACCTTTTAAATTTTGCTGATGTAGTTAATAAATAAATAAAGAAGCAAAAAGCCTACTTGTTTAAGAGATAGCCCATTCTTAATCATATCATAGGTATAGTTCCACCTAGTAAGACAATCCAGAATAGGTTTGCAAAATTTAATAGAGCATGCATTACATGTTTTTTCAAACAGCTCAATACGTTGAGGTGATGTACAAATAGTGGAATTAAGTTCTCAAATCTTAATGGTTTGAGTATAATAAAATTTTTTTTTTTTAAAAAAAAGGCTTTGCAGAGTTTATACTAATACCTTACAAACATCTTCCTCTATTTTAGCTAGAGCTACCCTTGCAGCCAAATTAAGAATATAGTTAAAGCACCAGTATCTAAGTTGTTCAGAGTCCTATTCTAAATTTTCTTCTTTTAACTTATAGACAATTCATGAACAAAAATACCATTATTTGAAGTGTTATCTAAGTTAATAGCAAGAAACTTCTAAGAAAAAAAAAGTCAGACCATTTTTTTGCATAAAATTAAAGCTGAGCTAAGTATAAAATGAATTCGTTTTATGCTAGCTTAGCATAAGTTGAATTATTTAATATTAAGTTTAACATAATATAAATTTGGCTTTATGCTAATCTTAGTATAAAGCCAAATTCATTTATGCTAAACTTAATATTAAATAAATTTGGCTTATGCTAAGCTAGTATAAAGCAAATTCATTTTATGCTAAGCTTAGATAAAGCTAAATTTATATAAATACCTTTGATGTAATTTTATAATCTTTTAATACTTTAAAAAATCTATTAGAAAGATTCATTCCATTATGATATCCACTTAATAACCCAAAGTTAATTAATATTTCTTAAAGGGTCCAATTGTCATCTATATAATGAGCTGTAGCAGAAATAAAGACCTTGTTGTTAGGGGATGTCCAAAGGTCCAATGTAAAGAAAATTCTAGAATTTATAGCAGAAAAGTATGTCTATAGTACTGTAAGTATTAGTGAATAATAAATAGATATATATAAAATATAAATAAAATAAAATAGCTCCAATTAAATAAAAATAATAAATAAATCATTTTAAATAAATAACTCTAATCAAATAAAAATAATAAATAAATAATTTAAATAAATAAATAAAAAATATCAATAAATAAATAATTTAAAATTATAATTTAATAGAATTTGTAAAAAATAGATATATAAACTTATACAATAAGCTTTTTAATTAAATTTAATATAATATATTAATATAGTACATTATACTGTTATGATATAAAAATATAAATATTAATATTTAATAAAATATTTTACTAGCACTTTAGATTCCCAAGGTTAAATTAAAATAAATTAAAAAAATAAAAAATAAAATAAAAAAAATAGAAAAAAAAGAATTAAATTAAAAAAATAACAATTGTAAGCTTGCCTTTAACTCCTTTTTCTCTGAATCATAATGTGACATTATTGCTTCTTTAATTGTATCAGCTTTAACTAACTGTGCTGTGGGATTCAAATATTTTATAATTTCAATTAATTCAGGGTCTTCAATTATATTAAATAGGCATTAATAATTAATAATCCAGGCAAAAAACATATCGCAAAGCTTTATATTATCAATATCAACCAATGTTTGGTCTTTAGGATTCTATACAATATTTTTCAAATTAGATTAACTTAAAATTAATAATAATAAATCAATAAAAAAAAAAAAAAAAGAAGAACTAACTTGGGTTCTGAAGTGCTAGGCATGATACTATTAAAACAT